ATATACTCACTGATGCTTACAAATACTATGATTTTGGACAGATCAAGTGCTTTTATAGAAACAATGGTATATACTACAGAAAGTTTACCAATTTTCTAACTTCCTCATCCATACAGTCTGCCTCTACCTCTGGAGCAAGAAAATATCAGATACTCTCTTCCAAAACTCTTAGACACGTAAAGGATGACCGCATTCATTTGTCTATCCATCCATGCACCCATGCAATATACATTAAAGGGCCTACCATACACCAGGAAGTTTTTCTAGGCGCCTAGAATGCTTCATTAAATTCCCTGCCTTCTGGAACATATACTCTAGGAGTGGAGAAGAAAAAAACAATCCCCCCAAATTAATATGACATTGTTGCTAGTAATCTGAAAGGAAGCTTTTTAGGGGCTTCTGAGAGAAATTTTCCTCCTTGATAGAGACCAAGCCCTTCAAATTCCCATTATCATGACTGAATTTCATTAGAGCGCTAGTTATAATATACAACCATCTTACTTGAATATCTTCAATCATTTATTAGTCTAAATCTCAGACACATATTTTGGCGAGAAATCTACAGAAAGATAATGGAAATGGTTTTCCTTGTTTTATAAAATACAGTATCCATTGAAAAATAAAGCGATATAAATATATGATACAGGAGTGGAGCAACAATGGTTTACATATTCATCTACATTCTCTTAATGTAGGTGCTTACTATGTGTTAGACACATACAAATCACCTTTTTATTTTCTTAATGGCCTGTAGAAGTGATTTGCACATTGTAACCATGTAATTGCTTGCTACCATCATGTGTAGTTTACATAATAACACCCAAATATATTCAGTGTTTCATTCATAAGTCTACTAATCATGGGATTATAAATGCAGGTAAGCACCAATCTGACAGTCATATATATGTGCATATTTAAATATATAGACATGGACATCCTGTCAATAATTCTTGATTTACAAATATAAAATTTTATCATTGGAATAAGCTTATCTCACATGGAATAAACTTAATGGCCATTTTTGGAATCTACTTTTGCTTTAGCTACCACCTGCAGTCTCTCAATCCACATAAAATATTAGGTATGGACATTTCCTAAATTATTTCATTTTGTAGTTTTGATAACAAAAATTAATACTTTCTGAGTAATAGCTGTAAAATTACTCTGTCAACATATTGGAGACAGTATGCAATGTTAGGAAAGATTCAAAATACTGTTCTGCAATTAAACTTCAGCTTTTAAATCCCTAAGCTATTTTCAAAAGTCTTCATTAATTACGCATTAGTAGCAAAGTTCAAGTTTTCCTCTTTACTTTCAAGCTTACATATAATTAGGCTTCCTTTTCAATCCAACCTTACTTGATACTATTTCAGTATGTAGAACCTCTGGTGTAAACAGATTCCTCGAAGTCCCACAAATGTACAGTAATATTTTACTCTTTGCCTTAAAAAATGAAAAGAAAAGAAAATATGGCGTCCTTCCACTTTTTTCTTTCATTAAATCCCACTTGTCATTCTTGGTACAAATTAAGTACGTTGTCTCCAAGATGCACCTCACTCCTCACTCATTGCAACCACATTAATTGCTCAACTTCTGAACAACATTTATTTCCATTTTCAGAAAATTCCACACCATCTTGAAAGGTCTTACAATTTATGAGAGGTTTAGATATGCCCAAAAAAGAACTTGACTTGAGGCTGATTATACACTATTATAGGAATATTATGGGTTCTCAATCCCTGGCTAACTGAAAATGAAGTATATCCTAATAAGTGTAGAGATGATCATAAGCAAACACCTGGAGAACATTATTGTGTATGCAGTGAGCATCCAATTAATGGCTCTTGAATGAATGATAATAACTACACTATTTTATGTTCTACTATTCTATCAACTAAGCTATATACATGAAAAAATAAAAGACAACATAAAATGTATTTATAATAAAAAAGATGGGCTCAAATTGGTATTTAATGTTATTATTTTTTGCATGAAATGCATACAAGTTAAATTCTTGAATCTTACATTTGCTGTCAAAGAAAAGAATCATAAATTAGAAAAGATAATTAAAATCAATTGTAAAGTTATAAATTAATCTTCAAATAAAGCTATTATTGTAATGAATATTTTAGGTATTAAGTGAAGAAATTGTGAAAACCAAAATCATTATGTGAAACCAAATATTTTGCCTAAATATTATCTACCTAAATATTATCTTACCATTATATTATAAATGATAAGTTTTGAATGAGAATGGAATTTTTCCATCTTTTTGTAAACCTATGATGGATTAGAAATCTAGATAACAGATGACTGTGCTGGCTTCTTAAAGGGAGCAATAAGAACTAAAAGAGAATGGACAGAAAAATTAGGAAATTCTCTAAGGAAAGATTTATTGCTTGAAATTGCTGACATGCTTCAAGGGTGTTGGTTCTTGTTTTATTTGAAATACAGAAAAGGAAGACAATTCTACTCTGGAGTTGTTTTTAAATTATGCAATAGGAGCATAAAATACAAACAATGAAAACAACAGATAATATTCTTCATGCTCTTAGAATATGCTAGGCAATATATTACATTTTATGTATACTTTAACACATTTCTTTGTCAGTAATATGTGAGAATTATTATTATCCCCATTTTACAGATAGTAAGTCCATCCCTAGAAGTTAAATAATTTATCCAAGGTCATATGATTTACATGTGATGGTGAAACTGGGACTTTTAGACCTGAATTCATCTGGATTCTAAAGAATTCATGTCACAGTATGAGAAAAAAGTTGAAAGAGAAATTTGTAGAAAAGTTCAAAGACTCAAAAAGAGTTTTACAGCTGGAGCCCATAAACTACTTTCTAGATTTGGCTTGCAAAGCAAAAAGAAATGTTTTAGCTTTAACAAGGTGACAAGTTTTGTGGGAGAGAGAAAGCTTGAGGAAAAAGGGCTTTCAAAATATCAAAGCAGTAAGGAGTTGGGCTATGGCCATGGAAGTCTAAGATACAAAATCTTTGAAAGATTAAAAGATTTCTATGGAATAATAGGCTAAGCCCATTACTTTGGTTAAGCAACTATTAAAAGTAGTTTTCTTATAAGCAGAACCAGTTAGCCCATGTTCCTTGGTAAATGACAATTCAATATCTTAATTAAATTGATTATTCTTTTATAGCTATATAAACGTCTGTCAATAGTAAAACATTATTAAGCCCTTCTGTTGTGCCAGATATTGTTCCAAGTGCTCTACATTTTGATCCTAACAATAACTCTTACAGGATAGTACTTTTATTATCATTTCCATTTTAAGGAATAAGTCATGACTAATGTCAGGGCTCACACTCCTCACTGTTACAATGTGCTGATGTTACAGTAGGTTAGTAACTACTATAATTAAGTAGTATTTTATTCATAAATATTTTATAATTTAATAAAACTCTATTTTTCTAAAGTTACTTGTCATACTATCACTTAGTAAACCTACTTAGCAGTATTTGCAATGAGGTAAGTTATTGACAAGTAATTGTAATTACAGTAAGAATAGCACTATTTTAGTTTTTCAGAGGATATGCTATGAAATGAACTCTAATGCTCTTCTATACTTTAAAATCTGTGATTCAGTGACATGTAAGTGAAAGATGAAGGTTGTGTATTTCAGGATAGTTGCTGGTTCATTGAGTTATTTATGCTTTAACATTCAAATGATACTTTACAAAAAGAAGTTGTGATATTCTGTACAATAACAAAGCAATTTTGTTCCTACTTTTGGTTTGTTTATTTTTACCTACAATGCTCCAAATTGGTATGTGTTAATAATATACAATGCATAAAATGGGTAGCATTAATAATGAGATTTATAATAGGTTTGATTCCTTCTAAAATGAAATATATATTTGAAAAATTGATGTCATTATCACAACATAACAATATGTCAGAAATTAATTAGATGAGTAATTTTATTTAAATGAATAAATCTAAAATATTTATTTCTCAATCACATAGAATAATCTTTCAATGATCAAATTCTATAATCAAGCAAGAAAAATTCAAGCTCTTTGAAGACTGGGAAATAGTTTTAGATTAGACATATTAAAAACTGAATTTTTTATATCAAATCATATTGAATTTGTATAAACATAATATCCATGAAATATAACTTTTCCAAGAAAAACTCAAGAATTATAGTACATTATAAATTTATGTATAGATGTTTGAGTCTCACAATACATTGGGAAGTTAAGAAAATATGATATCAAATGAAATATTTTATACTAATAGGAAGTATTTTAACATCTCTAGAGTATAATTTAAAGAAGACTTTTTAAAAATTAGATTCTATTCCCCATACCACAACATGCAGTTATTTTATAAATGTTTATATTTTTTCAGAGTTTATAGCTGCAATGTAATTTTTATTAGATTATACACACACACAAACACACACAAAGTAGAAATATACACAACCCCTGCAAATAAACTCTTCTTCCCCAAATTAAAGTTAGTAGGTATGCATGGCAGGTTTATGAATATGGAATCATTATCAATAAACATAATTAAACTGTCATGTATCAAAGGAAAATAATTTTTAAAAGCATATCTTTGACATTATACTATCAAAAATTCTGATGTACTTGAAATTTTTTCTGTAAAAAATAATTTTACCTACAACATTTATTAACTACAAAAGGCCAAAATACACTAATGATAAATTCAACTTTAAAAAATTAGCCTAAAAATCGTTTTAGGAATAAATTATCAAAGGATTCAACATGATCCATAGAGTTGGGGGTAGGGAGCAGAGGGCATTTAAACACATAGTATAATTAAATAAAAACTGATGCTGTAAATTTTAGAAATAATTTAATTTTGTTTATATGCAAGGAGACATTTAAAGAAAGAAAGAAAGAAAATTCAAATACACATTCTGGGGCAGCTCTGGTTGCTGGCATTCTACCCCCTATCTGTAAAAGAATGCTTGTTGGCATTAAGTTCCATCAATTCATTTGTGATTTCTAAATTAATTCTGAAGGAAACCACAACTTACTTGAAGATCCCGCTGAGTATCTGTGTGCCTGATTTTTTTTTTCTCTGTTCACAGACAAAGCACTTCCACTGGTCATGGAAAAAAGGTCTAAATCCGTGTCTTCTCTGCTTACAAGTCTTGCCTGGGAGCAATGGGAGAGAATGTATACAATCATGAAACAAAATATGGCATTTTCTGAATGCAGCTCACATTACCCCAAATAAACAAACAGGCTCTGTCAAACAACCTTCTTCAAAATGATACCACAATCCTTTATTGCTGCCCAGGCAGAACAAATGCACTATGTCAAAGCATTTTTTTGCAAATAAGAGCCGATTTTAAAATTGAGGTTTGCTATTTGAGTCTGTACAACAAAAGAAAACATTTTAGTATAGTAATTTTGATGAAAATCAATCTTAAAAGCAGCTGGTGAAACTTTAAACAGCTTAACATCACTTACTTACCAAGTATATTATTTAATTCTTAATTAAATGCTAGAAATGTCATACTAGATTATTTTCTGAGATATTTTTATTTTATCACATGAGTATTACTTTTATTCACAGAATATGCCTTTCTTTCCATATTTGTGTACTAGAAAGTCACAGATGATACCCGCCTTTTCATTACAACCATTTTAATACAAAAATATTACACATTAAGTTTAATTTGGGGATAATGCTAAATATATTGAAATGCCAAGGTATACTAAAGATATAAAAATTAGATAATTCATTTAATCTAAATTGCCTTTGCACTTTTTAAAAAACTATCTTAGATTAAACTTAAGAGTCAAAAGAATTGCTTCTTACCTATAAAATCTTGTTTTACAGAATATCTATCATGAAGTGAGGATTTATCAGGATTCAGCTCTGAAGTGGGAGAAAATGTCATTACGGAAAGTAAAGCTGCCTCTAAGTGGCTGGGATTTAACCCAAACCACAGTGTGCTTGAAGTCCTGTGCAAATGTGTTGTCTTAAATGTTTGATGTGAGGAAATTTAAGTACAGCAAAATAAAGACATGAAACCACTACTGTGGCTAAAAAACTACGTACATTTGATGAGCTACAAAGACCGAAGAACTCGGGATCTAAAAAATCATCCTCCTTCAAATTCAGATTTTTGCCCATCTATACATTCCTCTTCTCACCTTGTTCCCACACTCACGCATATGAGTGAATGAATGAATCAATGAATTTATCTTCCTCGAATTTATTTTTTAATTGTCCAAAGTTGTATATATTTATTTTATACATCATGATGTTTGAAATAGGAACACACTGTGGAATGGCTAAATTGAGTTAATTAACAGATTCATTTTAATTCAGATAACAATTTTCTAATATGAAATTTAATGGCAAATATATGTTAAACAGCAATTTTGCAAAATTTTTCTAAATCTTTGTTTTTGAGCATTTCTCTTTTATAACCTACATACAAGGTTTTGTAATCCCCCCTTACATTTCACACTGGAATAAAGGAAGTAAATTCTGGAAGGTGACTTTCTAAGTATTTGGATTTAATTTCACCTCTATCCTTGATATCTTAAATACAAAAAGAAGATTCTCTTTCATTTAATTAAAACCAGGAGTTCCTTCTTCTGTTTTTTTTTAAACACAATGTTATTAAATATTTATTTTAAAACTGCGTACTTTTGGAAGTAAAGACATGCTAACAGCATACTTTGAAAACAAATACCTATGTACTTATTACCTAGATTTTTTTAAAGAAAAATCAAATGTTATAAAGATGAAGTACCCTTTTAAGCTACCTGGTAGTTTTTCTACATGTATGTATTGAAAAGGTTTTGGAGTACAGTCACATAATAATGTTAGTTAACAATGCCCACATATGTGACCATGGTCCCATAAGATTATATTGGAGCTGAAAAAATCCTATTACCTAGTGGCATCTTAGACATTGTAGTCTCCTGATGCAACACATTACTCATGTGTTTGTGGTGATGCCTGTGTAAACAAACCTGCACTGTCAGTTGCATAAAAGTATGCTCATGCAATTTTATATATATATAAAATATTTGATAATTAAAATAAAAAGCTGGGGTATTTACTGGTTTATATATTGATATGTAATAATTTTTTATCAGTTTTGAGTGAAATTCTATCAAAACAAGCTTACTGTGAAATAGTTTGCTGTGTTATGCCAACAGAAGCCTCATGCATGTCTTGCTTACTGTGTCTCTTGCTTATATCAAGAAACCAGTTTAAGTGATTGACCTATGCCACTGAGGTTTGTGTAAGTACCCTGTATGATGTGCACAATGATTACATGAACCAATGATGAGTTTCTCAGAACATGTCCATGTTATTGCATTCATTTTAGCTGCTTAAATGATTTATAAATTGTGGGAAATTATATTGCTATGACATCTTATTCTTGCTATTCCTAGACATATGAATGATTGAAAAATCTTTTTAAGAAAAGTGGGGAAGGTTCCATCAAAATAAAAGAGAGATCAGTGGAGTAGAGTAAGGATTTTGAGGGGGAGGAAGGAGAGAGGGGAAAAGGGAAGAATAGTGTTTGAATCTGACCTAAATTTCCTATGTACATATATGAATATAACACAGGAATATCATCTTCATGTATATCCACAAGGCACTAATTTAAAAGACGATATAAATAAATAGTAGAAAGATTAGTAGAGTAGAGTGAAGGGAATAGGGGAGGGAGGTGGAGAGGGAAAAGAGAAGTACTGGAGACTGAATTAGAGCAAATTATATTTCATGCTTTTAAAATTATGTCAAAATGAAACCTAATATTGTGTATAACTAAAAAAGAATTAATACAAATACAAAATATAAAAATATTATTTTAGTTGCTGAGAGCTTAGTTATACATATCCCTCTGTTCATAATACTCTTCATCATCATTGCACTAACTCCTTTTAAGCCAGGTTTTGTTATATAACTATGTGAATAGGAAAGATACTTTAAATGTTTTAAAAATATACAGATGTGATTATGTGCATTGAAATTCACAAATCTTAAATATGAAATTCAATTGTTTTCAACATTTTTAGAATAAAAATTTTTAATGTAAAACTCCCACATAAATTACAAAAAGTTATACTTAATATTTCCTGTGCATACTACATTAGGCTTACCCAATGACAACAGTTTACATAACCAAAATACAATTAACTTTGGTTTCAACAAGCCAGGTCATTGACATTGGAGTAATATTATTACTAAACTACAGACCTTATTAGGACTTCACCAGTTTTTACATCCTGCATAGACTCATGTAACTACCAGTAGCACACAGGAGTCTTCCATTTTCCCAAAGAAACTTTCTTACTGTCCTATACAGATATACCCTCTCCCTACTCTAACCACTTGCACTTTTGTGCTGTCGCACCACTGTGATTCTGAGAATGTTATGTGATATCATAAAATATATAATCTTCTGAAATTGGCTTTTTTCACTCAACATAATGTTCTTAAGATCCATAGATATCTTTCTATGTATCAAAAGTGTTTTTTGATTATTGTTCTTTCTCTCTCTTTCTTACCAATGATTTAAATCAGGGGCACTCAACTACTGTGCCACAATCCAGCCCTAGTTTGTATTTTATTTAGAGACAAGGTCTCACTGAGTTGCTTTAGCACCTCACTTTTGCTGAGGCTGGCTTTGAACTTACGATCCTCCTGCTGTAGCCTCCAGAGCTTCTGGAATTACAGGTGTGAGCCACCATGCCTGGTGTTTTTTATTTATTTTTTAATGCACATCCATTTGGGTCAGTCAAAATACCTAACAAGAACAACTTAGTGGGGGAAGTTTACTTTGGGTTCACTGTTTCAAAGATACAAGTCCATGCATCGCCAACTAGACTACACTGCTGTGGGCCAGAGGTGACGCAGAACAACATAACAGAAGGGCGTGGTAAAGGAAAGCTACTCAGTTCATGACAGCCAGGAAGCAAAGAGAGGAAGAATGTGAGATGACAGGGACAAAATATAAAACCTAAAAGGACCTACATCCTTTAGTTACACCCCACCTAGCCACAGTTTTCAACTTGTATTATAGTCCTTTCACATTATTAATCCATCAAATGGATTAATCCATTGATTCGGTTACATTTCTCATAATTTAATAATTTCATCGCTTGCATTAACGTAGGAACTTTTGGGAGATACCTGGTAACCAAACCATAACACTATTATATGTATGTACCACCATTTGTTTAACCTTTCACCCACTGAAGGGGAATTTGGTTGTGTTAAGTTTTTGGTTATTACAAATAAAACTGCTATGAACATTACTGTACATTTTTTAAATGAATGTTAACTTTTCTAGAAAAAATTATCAGTAGCTGTTGTTACTTCATATTAACATATGTTTATAAGAAAATGACAAGATTTTTTTTGAGAGTGGCTATACAATTCTCATCAGCAATGACTAGAGGAAGCAGTTACTCTGCATTCTAGTCAGCACTTAAAAATTACAATAATTTTTATTTTAAGTACTCTATAGGCATACAGTGGTATCACATAAAGGCTTTAATTATTTCCCTAATTAATGATATTTAACATTTTTCATGTGTTTATAAAAGAGAGGAAGGATATGAACTTTTTTTCTATGTGTTTTGACTTAATTTTCTGAATGGTGCTTTTAAATGAAGTTCAATTTGTTTTTATCTTTTTTCATTATTGGTTTATGCAAAGAATTCTTTGCCTATTACAGGTTTATGGAGATACCTTACTATATTTTCTTTAAGATGTTTTATAATTTTAGTTTCTACACTTATGTTTATAAGTCATCTTAGATTCATTTTTTTTGGTATGGTGTGATAAAGAGGAGTTGTTTTCCCATGTAGGTTCACTTTTTCCCCATATAGTTATCTGGTTGTTCAGCATCATTTATTGAAAGGTTATCCTTTCCCTCTTTGAATTGCTTTGGTACCTTACAAAAAACCAGTTGGCCTTATAAGTATTAATATTTTTCTAGACTATTCCCCTTTATGGTAATAGAGTCTGCTATCTTTTTGCAAGTAACAAACATTATTGATTACTGGGGCTTTATAGCAAATCTTGAAAGCAAGTAGTGTGGAACTTCTTAATGTTCTTTTTGCATGATTGTAAATTGGCTATTTTATGTCTTTTGCATTTCCATGCACATTTTAAAATCAGTTTGTTCATTTCTATGAGAAACCTTTTTGGGACTGCATTGGATCCACAGATCATTGACATCATACATTTTCCCAAATAATGCACTTGAAGAACAACAGGGCATACAAAAACCTATTTTAAAACATTGAATGAGTTCCTTCCAGAATTACAACAGCTTCTACTTTCAGCACCTGTACATAAACATTTACACATTATTGACAGCCCTTTGAATTACTGTTTCCAAATTTTAATATTCAAGTGAGTATAGTCATGAGGCTTCTTAAGTTTTCATTCTCATTCCTCTCATCTAGAAACTGATCTATTTTACAACTTTACCTTTCATATTTGGATATTCAAGCCTTCTGAATCCCATCCACTGTAAAGGCTATGTATGATTGATATATATATATATATATATATATATTGCTGTTTTGTTACATTCTTTCTCAATGTCATTTGCTGAATACTCTTTACTAGACAATCTAAGCGTTCCTAACTTTATCATATAATAATTTGCAATACAGTCATAAGTCTATTTCTAAACTCACTACTCTTTTTAATTGGTCTGTCCATCCATGCCTGTGCCTTAAGGGTCCTTTAGCTTTGTACTAAGTATTCATGTGTTGTGACAAAAGTTGTTCTTATTTTTCTAAGTTGACATATATATTCTTGTTTTTATTTTATTTCTCAATACACATTTCAGAGGAGTTTTCTCAAGTTCCTCAAGAAATGAACTATAATATTGGGTGAGTTTAAAAAATATATACATTTATTTGAAGACTATTAATATATTTTATACAATAAGTTGACAAATCCATAAATGGTAAAATTAATATTATATCATACATAGATCATGTTTAATAACTAAGAGACTTCTAGTTGCTGACAGAGTTGCTGACTAATGGCTCTCTGCTGTACCTGTCTCCTCTATATAACATTGTCTTAGCTGAAGAGAGCTGCTTTGCCCAAGTCACATTTCTCTTGAGGAGTATAAATCCTGTTGCTCTGGCCTCAACTGTGCTTCCACTACCAGAACTCATTCCCTTGCTGCAACTCTTCTCTCTCAGTTCAATCCCACTTCTTTCATTTTTCAAAGGAGTTGTTTCTGAAAACTTTCCTCAGTAAACTTTCTGTACTCAACTTTTAAAATCTCAGAGTATATTTCCTGGAGAACATGAAATATGACTGTCTTCTGGAAAATCTTGGAACTTTGGGGAATCATTTAATATAACTGACAATATAATTGTCTTTTAACATCTTTGACATGCCTTATGATATATTTTTGAAAGTAATAAAAATAATATTTTTCTTCCATTTTTAATTCCTCTCATGCAATATTCTTTGCTATTACTTAGAAGACAGACATATTATTTACTTCTCCAAAATTCAGAATTTGAATGTTTATGCCTTATTCTGTACTCATTTTTGAAATTTAGAGAACAGTATTTTAATGCTATTTATATTTATTCCTATTAGTAAGAAACACATCCAGTATCTTCTGAAATTCATTGTTTCTGATATGAAGTTAGCAGGCTATCTAATTACCATTCCTCTGTAAGTAATCTTCTAATTCACTAATCTTCTTTATTGTATCCATCCTAGACTACATTTAAATAATTTTATTTCAATAATTTATAGGTGGTTCATTTGTCTACTCATCTGACTTTACTCACAGTTGATCATTTTTGTTCTATAATTTTCTGTCCTTTACTATGGGTGTTATTTATCTCTGAGGATTTTATACTAGCTGCAGTTGCAGCCATTTGTTTTCATTGTTCTTTTTCTTAGGGGCTAGTCTCAGTTGGGCAATTATCTGCCTCTAGTTTCCTGTCATAGGTGGGAAAGTGAGTGTTTTCATTCCTGAATACACTGCAATATACCTATTCTGGGCCTTCAGTCAGCCCATTATCCTTCTGATATTAACTTATTGATCTCTTACACTGCCTCTACTCACACACACAAAAGCCGTCTGTGTATTTTTTGTTCCAGTACAGTTTACCTTGTTTAATGTTCAATTGTATCTCTAATATATGAAAAAGCATTTATTGTTGCCACTTATTTGTCATATATTTGTACACAGAGGAATTAGAGAGGTCTAGAAAAAGAGGACTGATGACAGAACATTAATTTTAAGTAACCATTAGATCAGTAATCTATCCACTCTGTTTTCAACCACTTTTGTAAGTGTAATAATTAAATTTTTTTTTATACTGGACTTCCATGGCACTTTTATATTCTCCTATTTATTTATTTACACACACCAGGGATTGAAACCAGCGGTGCTAAACCACTCAACTATATCCCCAACCCTTTTTAAAATTTTTGTATTTTGAGACTGGGTCTTGCTAAGTTATTTAGGTCTTTGTTCAGTTGCTGAGGCTGCCTTTCAAATTGTGATCCTCCTGCCTTGGCCTCCCTAGTTGTTGGTATTATAAGTATGTACCACTACACCTCGTTTATACTCTTCATTCTTGCTCCAATGTGGTTACTGAACAATCTGGGTCAAATCATAGCCAATAAGACATAGTGTTAATCTGAAGTATAATTTTTTCCTAGAGTAATCTGCTTGATACTCTCTTAGTGTATTCTCCATTCAAGTGCAGAAAATTATTTGATGAGTGATTATTTTGAATCTGTGGATGGATTATATTTTTTATAAATAACATAGTTTTAGCTAGTTATTATGTTATCTTTTACTCCTCTTTTAGGAAAACTCCTTGAGCAAGCTATTCACAAGAATGATGAATACAACTGTTCTAGAAACCACAATATTCATTCATATCAGAAAACACATCATCTTTTCATGCAAAATTCTATATGGCAGGCTAAATAATAATAAATTTTCTTGGCAAATATAGAATCTGAGAAAGAGGTAGTAGTTGGTTGGTTTAAGTGGAAGGTATTGTATAGATGGATTCACCATAGGCATACATTTTCACCTGCCAAAGAGACTACATAATTCAGTCAGTGATCAAGGTACCATCTTTTCTGGAAATTTCTGGAAGCACACTAAAAAAATCTCATTTTATGGGATCCATTTTTATAGATCAAATATTAGACATTCTTCTTCTGTTCAAATAGTTTTACTTCTAATAGCATATAGTACAATGGAATTTAGCAATGTACATGCAGTTCTATTACCTTGAGTCTACACTTTGGTCACCATATTTAGAATTTCGTTGTCTCTATGATTCAATAATTTACTTAATGAAGTATGTAATACTCTACTTTATATTACTTAGAGTGCTTGAGTTCCCAAATACTTGTTAATTTTTGTATGATTTGGTTTTCTGAGTTGTGAGAATATTTTGCTATTTCATCAAGTATAGTCTATGAATAATGCTCCTAAAATTTTCAAGAAAATAATTTCATTGAGCTTCCCATTCATAATAATGTTATTTTATAATATAAAAGGTGAATATTTTTACATACTTTAAATCAATGTAATAACATAAAGTTATATCAGAAGTCAAGGAAAAATGTTATTATTTTATCACATGGTATTTTGACATTACTTCAAATAGAGTTATATTTTCATTTTTATAGTTTAATTGTGGGAATATTTTAAAGTGTCATTCATTGAGCACTGGTATTTACACCATGTTTCCATAACTTTAAACACATTTCTTACCACGAGTTGGACTCTTCCACCATTAAGTACATCTGGATCTAACTCAGGCAAGAAGTGATTGCTATGTGGCGACAAAAACAGAAAACATATTATAATATGAATGTATAGGAAGAACATGAAAGAAATGTTCACATAAGAAAATCAGGAGATATCATTATTTAAAAAATGTTAATAATATTTTTCTTAAATTAGCTTCTATAGAAAGATAAGCATGAATTCAAATCTTTCGATAGTAATTTGAAGTTAAATTTGTCATAATATTGATACATACTGTAAAATCACCTTCTTTTTCAAAAGAACCCATCAAAGAGTAAAAATCTTAAGACTATTAATAATTAAATTTAATAAATTATAGAAAAAGTTTTTATTCACATTTACTTAACCTTTGTCTTTTAAGAAAGATGCTAGTAAATTATTGTCATGTTTATAATAAACTTCTATTTTAAACCAAAACAATTACATTTGGCTTTTCAAAAACTTATGTTCTTGAAAATATTATATATTGTATTATAGTTTCATATGAGAAATTTCATAAACAATTTTTTACTCTTTTATCATATTTACATAGATTATTTATTAGTAAAGGATATTATTAAATGTTAAGCATATCTAAAATTCACCCTGAAACATTTTGTTAAAAGTTTTCACTATACTACATCTATACTAAGGCTTTTAAATTTCTGAAGAAGACCTCTTCTGTTGGGTTATTAAGATGGTTTTAAATGGATTCTATTAAATTTGCTTACAGTTCCAAAGATGCTATGCTGTGAACTAAGTTAAACTGATTAATACTAACATAAATTGCCTCCACTAATTTGAGTATTTAAAAAATGAAAATTCTGAAATATGGATGGCTTTATTCCAACTTTCTTCATTTATAATGAAATATGACAATTCAGACTAACATGTTTTACTCTATTTTCATTTTTGCTATCATATCACTTCCACATTTTGAAAGGAAATGGAGAGAACTCACTGTATATGAAAGTTTAGTTCATATATGTTATTAAAAGGGGTAAATTAAGTTCTTAATTGACAAATTTATAATAGCACTAATAAATTAAAATACAGTCTATAACATATTTTACCCTCAGAAACAGTTAATGGATCTCAGACCTTTACTTTATGACACAAAATAATTTGTATGATTCACTTGTTGGTTTTAAGCATTACAGAATAAAGCTTTTCCAAAATATTTTATGGTGAAAAATATAAAGAGTGATTGAATCTCTTTTATATGAAAGGCTATTTTTTTTTAACCTGGGAAAGTAGTGTATAGGCCTTTAGCTATAAAGTCATGTTTCTTTTACACAATTAACCCAGGATTCACTTTTCAAGGTATGTTTACAATACAAAAATCTAATTTAAAGGAAATGACCTCACCATTTCGTATTTCTGGAACTAGCTGCATGAACCCCAACCTGTGTATGAAGCCATTGGTATGTATATTCTTTACTCCTTTCTAATTTTTCATTTGCAGTAGTATCCTTGTAGATAAAGTCTTCTTCCTTATCTGGGAAAGAGATATGATTGTTTATTTGTAATTTAAAGAGATCAAACTTTGGCCAGGTCATTCAGTTGAGGCTAGTAATTTCACCACAAGAAATAAAAAGTATAATGATTAATTCATGGTAGCTAAATCTTCTGTAAGAAAAATAATGTCAGTCACTCTGCTTGAGTTTCAGATCCAACTCTTTTGGAAAATAAAGAGAATGTTTTATGGTAACCCACATTTTAAAAGGCTTTAGTTTTAGTTTTTTATTTAGAAAATTCAGAGTTATTTTTGGTAGATAGTACAAAAAGAATATGTATCACTATCATGTATATTTAGGCATCCTTTAAAGTTAATTGTTCTTATACTAGCTTTATCCATATGAAGACTTTATACTGAACTTATTTGAGACAGAATATCATATAAAACTGATTTTGGTTTGTGTAAGTTAATATAATATTTTAAACTAGAAATATAATCTATATCAGGTTTCAAGGAACCTGATATAGATATAGCAGCTATGTCAAGAATAGAAAAAGCATAACAATAAAGATGTGTATGGAAAAAAATATGAAAGGTGAGAAATTATACCAGGTAAGAATAAGAGGTAACAAATATATAAAGTATTATTTTAAAAAAGGAAAAGAAAAAATCCAACCCTTATAATCAAATATAAAAATTATTACACATATATATGTGTGTTTTTATTAAAAAATAAAACTGCAGATATTGCTGCTTTGTCAATACCATACATTTCAGAGTTACACTGAAGATCAGTGGTTTTTAGAGACTTCCTTTTGGTCTTTTATACTGCTTCTTTCTTGGAGCCATTACCATATTTAGGAGCTTGTTAACTTTGTAGGCTTTATCGATAGTATACCAGAGGGAGACACTTTGTGGAACTAACACATGGTAATTAATCTCAAAATACTTAAGTTTGAAACCTAGTTATTTAAAATGTTCAACTTTTAAATCTGAAGTATTATTTCACTCTGGATGTTTGAACACAATAAGTCAACATAATTGCAATTTGTTTGGAAAATAAAACATGGTGAAAAGCCTACGCTGAATGCTTGGTCAATGCGCACATGTACACTCAAACATATACACACAAAGTGTAATATGCATCATTCTGAATAAATGGAAAACAATACTTCTAAAACATCTTTTCTTTTCTATACAAGTTACTGTTATAATTCGTGAAATGGCTCATATTCAACTTATAGAGATGTTGGATCAGTTCTCAGTAAAGCTAAAAGTCAGGATGTTTTATTTCTGTAAACTTTTACTTACCAAAGTTAAGTTCCTGTCACTTCTTATGCCACAATGTGTTTCTTAAAATGGACACGGTCCAAGTATCCTGAGCTTAAGCTAATACTTCCAAAGTTGCTATAAAGGAATAATTACTTAACATGCTAGGGATGACCACTGTATCTGTGAGCAGAACTGTTTTGAACAATAGCCTTAGGGGTACACAGAAACTATAAAACAGATTCAATCAAAGAGGAGATTTGGTGTTGTCACAACCATTTACTGCACACAATTGTCTCTCCTCTGCAGAACACCAGTTTCTGCTTTATCTTTCTTGGCTGACTAGATCATATACTGATCCAACAGTGCAGTGTCAGAAAATAATTGGGATTCAGTGATCCTAATAATCAACAGAGACCAAGGTTAGAACCTTACCTACTCTTGATATGGAAAAATCCTTTATTAACATGTGTACTTTAGTTAAGATAAAAAAAAATCTCTTGTTTTCTGTTTTTTGTTTTTTTTTTTTAAATAGTGACGTATACTTGCAATATTCAGTTTTAAAACACTATGGAAAACTGTGCAATAACACTTCCAAATCCCTAAGTGGTTTTACATCAGAACTCAGTCAAGATTCTGAACAATTCCTGGGTAAAGAAGAGAGCTTTCATTTCAACAGTCCAATTCATATTAACTATTTTTCACTAAGACATAGATTGTATATTGGCACAAGCTTGACATAAGAAACAGAACAACAGAACAAACACAGTGGTGAAGTTGGCTAGATTTAATTGAAAGTACTGCAATTCAAATGCTGAAGGAAATGATTCTTTCTCAGGCAACTCTTTTCAAGATTACTCCTGCCATTGAGCAGCAGAAAGTAAGATATACTCTGAAACATGCATAAGTCCTGCTTTTAGCATCTTAGGAAGAATAACGGTGACCTGAAGTACTTAACAGATACTTATAGTTCTCTCTAGTCAGGCTATTCCATGAATCCTTCCTTTCAATGTGAAAGGAAGTATTGTTCTGCCTGCAGAACACTAATCCCTTTACCTGTCCTTTCCTATGTCTCTGGGTTTTGGTTCATCAATTTCTTGTATCATAAGCCTAAGAAAAAATTGCGTTTCTTTGATTCTGGCTGTACTCTAGTTACTACTCTCTCTGTATGCTTCTTTATTTCAAAACACAACATTGAGTAGTTTTATTTAGATAAATTGATAAATTTCTGATTATCAAAATAACAATTCTCATAATAGATAATTTAGAAAGTAAAAAGTCAAATAAATGGAAATCTGCAAGAACTCCACCTTCAAAGACAGCCATTAGATAGCATTTTAAGGCATTTTCTTTCAGTTTTTTAGTATATGCTTGTTTTGTTGTTAGTTTACATTGCAATTACAGTACTCTTCATATCCAATTTTTCATTTAGTATTATAACAAATGCATTATATGCAATAGAAATATCATCTTAAATAATCTACCAACTGGTTATATGATAGATTTTTGATTATCACACTTAATTAATCCATTTTAAAAGATGGAATTAAAGAAAATGTCTAAGTATTTTGTGGTATATGATCTATAAGTAGAATATTATATTGAAAAATAGTTTTATAAAGACTTCACCAATTTACCTGGCAATTGCTCCTCTCACCAAACCCTTACTCAACATTGACATGATAATATTTTAAAGCTGTTGATACTTTGACAACAATATTGTCTTAATTTATGGTCTTAATATATGTCTTATTTCTAGTAAATTTAAGATTAACCCATATGATTATTAACTAGTTTCAGCTTGTATATTATAAATAATCTTTCTTCTTCTCTCCAATTAACTATTACATCTGAGTATTTTCCTTTTTGTTTTAAATTAACAACTGTAAATCCTTTCTCTGTTTTTACTGGTACAAATGTTTTCCTTTGTCCATTGATTTTAGTATCTACTTTACTTTCAAAAGAGGAATCATTTTTTTTCTCTAGGTATGAATATTTATGTATTTGTAAATATATTTTAAATTATATGCCATTTCCTTTTAAAATTTATAGATTTGCATCTCCCAATTCAATAAAATGCATGAGATATAACAAAATTTCTGGGACAAATTCTAGATTCTTATATTTTGTCTTTCATAAAAATTTCCTTAAAGAGAAATTTATTCTCTGACTCTATTCCTTTACCTTCCATTCTCTCCTTAATTTATTGCCATATGATTTTGCTAAATTGAAACTGTGCTTACTAGGAAGGCCTAAAATTGTTTTATCTGAGAAGCACTCTTACTCCTTATCTTCAATGACTTTTCTGCTGAATTCAACTATACAGACCTTTTCCTTTTTCATGAGTGTCTTCTTTATAGACATTCAGGAAACAAGATTTTTATGTTCCCTTTTAAGCTCCTTTATAAATTCTTGCCTGGCATTGTGTGGACTTGTGATGATAGTTGATTAGATAGACAAAGTTTCTTATCTCATAGAGCTAGCAGCCTAGGGGACTAGGTATTACCTATAGGACTAGTAACTTCTATCTTACTCTTGTGCTCATATATCTTATTTCCAGCTATACTTCAAAATCACTTGTCTTTACATCATTCTCTTTCTGATGCCTGCTTTTCCTCTTGAATTTCCATATCACCAAGACCAGACATTCTGTAGTCGACCTTGGTTAGTCCTTCCTTTAGTACCAGTATCTAAACAGAAACTAGATCTACTCTGCTTCCTGAATATCCTATTAATCTAGTTCCATACAACTTTAACCATTTTACTTCAGACTTCACTTAGCACTGGAATGAGCAGGCTTGTATATGGCAACATGTGTAATGGCATATTTATTACTTGCCACAATCAGAGGTACACCTTCTCCTAAAACTAGCACCCTAACCTGTGCTCTAGATCCCACCTTTTCACATAATCTAGAACCTCTTGTCAACATATTCTTCTGTATTTTTAATACATTTTAAAAATGGCTTCTTATTTATTCCTCTCCTCAATTCTTAATCAGATAATCTTCCTGAACTAGTAGACAGTAGTCAATCTCTGCAGACTTATTTGCCATTCACATTTCAGATCACTGCAATATGGTTTCCTTGCAATACCATTTCACCAGAACTATGTAAAACAATGTTGACGAATTTTGGGGATCTTTTGGAGTTATTATCTTACTGACTCTTCTACGGTAATTATACACCGTTGTTTACTCCTTCCTTCTTGAAAGGCTATTTCTTCTGGATTTTGTTGCATTATACTCTGCTTGTTTTTCTCTAATCCTTAGGCCAAACTCTTCAGTCTCTTTCAAAGGCTCCTGTTTTTGTAATCCCTTGCAATCTCAGGATTCTTCTCTGGAATTTTATTCTGGTCCTATTTCATTCTTAGGGTACACTGTCCCTGTCTAATGATTTTCTGTCAAATTTTTCAGTCACCATTTTTATCTCTTTCTGAGACATGTGTCCAAAGTCTCTCTTTTTAGGTAATCCACAAGCACTGCAAACCAATGGGTGAAACTCTGTTTCTTCACTGCCTTGGTTCTTGGTTTAGCCCTTGAGACACATCTGCTGGGTTCCTGCCTTAACCCTCAGGTATACTGTAGTTATACAGAGTGTTCTCTTTTGTCCATAGATCTTTGCCCATAAAGTTTTCTAGGACTAGGATTATTCACTTTGCCAGTGGTATTATTGCTTTAGATCTTTAGGTTTAAGTTTAGAAATTATATTCTTTGGGATAAGCTCCCTGATCTTCCAACACTGCATTCCTTACTTAAGTTACATTATGAATGCTCATTCTATACCTC